CCTCTTTCTCCTTTTCACTAGACCCTGGTGGAGACTGTCATTATGGTACCATTACCTCCTGTCCCAGTCTCAGAGCCATTGTCCTATGTATTGGGCACCCCTGTTACCTGTACAGTCCTTCAGCTCTGCATTGAACTCTGCAATCTGCTTCTCACCACAGCACTTTGCACATGGTTCAGGTAATAATCTAGAGATTATAACTCTTGGGTTTTGTTCTCTAGCTCCTAGTTCAGGACAAACTCACCAAAATTGATCTTCCTTCCTACTTTTCCCTTTATTAATCCGAAATGAATCACAACAACTGAATACCTCCCTGTTGCTGTCCAATTTTAATTTGGTTGAAATGTTTTTCAACCTAGTAACTGGCAGACAACATATTGCAATTGGGGATGGGTTGTTAATGCTGTCCCTGCTAGTGACACCTAGATTTCATGAATTAATGATTAATGAGTTGAGTCTGACTAAAAAAGACACAGGCAAATGGGACTGGTTTAGTTTGGGAACCCTGGTCAGCATGGACAAGTTGGACTGAAGGGTCTGTCCATGCTGTGTGACTATGAATTGAAGCATACCTTTATATTTTGTTATTCATTCAAGGGATGTGCATATTGTTGGCTGGTCCAGAAATTAACACTCTATTTAACTGTTGCAATCATTGGCAGATAGGGACACCCACAGTTCTGTTAGGAAAGAAGTTCCAAGATTTTGTCCCAGTGACGTCGGAGATAGCAAGAACCGCAGATGCTGGAGTCAGAGTCAATAATGTGTGGAGCTGAAGGAACACAGCAGGTCAGGCAGCATGAGAAGAGCAGGAAAGTTGATGTTTCTGATGAAGAGTTTAAACCCAAAATGTCGATTTTCCTGCTCCTCTGATGCTGCCTGTCCTGCTGTGTTCCTCCAACTCCACACTGTATTGATGGCTGTCCTTGTCCTTCTGAATGGTAGACCTCATGTTTGGAAGGTGCTCTTGAAGAACTGTTGGTGAGTTGCTCCAGTCCATCTTGTAGTTGGTGCACATTACTGCCACTGAGTGACAGTAGTGAGGGAGTCAATGTTGAAGGCGGTAGATGTTGTGCCACTCAAACAAGCTGCTTTGTTCTGGATGGTTTCAAACTTTAAATGTTGTTGGAGTTGCACCCATCCAGGCAAATTATTCTTAGAGATCTACAACACAGGAAAAACAGCCACCTAACTATTGTAATTGTATTTTCAAGCACTCAGCCCAAAGTCTTGTATTCTGCCACATTCCTGACTCGTACCTTGTAAATGGTGAACAGAATTTGAGGAGTCAGAAAGTGAGTTACTTGCTGCAGCATTCGTTCTTCTGAAGATCTCTTAGAGCCACAGTATTTATGTGGCTAGTAAAAACAGAAAGCAGATCTGACAGCATCTGTACAGAGAGAAACGGAATTAACGTTTTGAGTCCAATGAATTTTTTGTTTCAGAACCTGAGGAACTTTGGAGTCAAAACATTAACACCGTTTTTCTCTCTCCACAAATGCTGTCAGACCTGCTGAGTTTCCTCAAAACTTTCGATTTTAATTTCAGATCTCCAACATTCAGAGTACTTTGCTTTCATTTATATAGCTAGTGCAGTTCAGGTTCTGCTCAATGGCAAACTCCAGGATCAAGATAGTTCAGTATTCATAGAACATAGAACATAGAACATTACAGCGCAGTACAGGCCCTTCGGCCCTCGATGTTGCGCCGACCTGTGAAACCTATCTGAAGCCCATCTAACCTAAACTATTCCATTATCATCCATATGTTTATCCAATGACCATTTAAATGCCCTTAAAGTTGGCGATTCTACTACTTTTGCAGGCAGGGCATTCCACGCCCTTACTACTCTCTGAGTAAAGAATTCAGTGAAGGCAATGCCGTTGAATGTCATGAAGAGATAGCCATACAGCATGGAAACAGACCCTTTGGTCCAACCAGTCCACACCAACCATAATCCCAAACTAAACTAGTCCCACCTGCCATGTGCTTGGCCCTTTTCCTTCCAAACATTTCTTATTCATATATTTATCAAAAAATTCTTTAAAATGCTATATCTGTACCCACATTCATCACTTCCTCTGGAAGTTCATTCCACATACAAACCACTGTGTAAAAAAGTTGCCACCGTATCTTTTTTAAATCTTTCTCCTCACCTTAAAAATATGTCCCCTAGTCTTGAAATCTCCAACCTTAGGGAAAAGACACCTGCCATTCAACTTATTTATACCCCTCATGATTTTATAAACCTGTATAAAGTGTCCCTTCAACCTCCAGGGAAAAAGTCCCAGCTTATCCAGTCTCTCCTTATAAATCAAACCTTCCATTCCTGGCAACATCATGGTAAATCTTTTCTGAACTCTCTCTAGCTTAATAATATCCTTCCTAAAACAGGATGACCACAACTGGATGCAATATTCCACAAGAGGCCTCACCATCATCCTGTTCAATTCAACCCCAACTCCAATACTCAAAGGTCTGAGCAATGAAGGCAATCATGCTAAACACCTTTTTAACCACTCTATCTGCATGTGCCACAAACTTCAAAGAACTGTGTATGGGAACCCCTAGGTCTGTTCTTCTACAGCATCACTAAAGGCCTTACCTTTAATTGAAGAAGTCCTGCCCTTGTTTGTTTTACCAAAAAGCAATACCTCACATTTATCCAAATTAAACTCCATTTGCCACTCCTCAGCCCATTGATCCAATTGATCAAGATCCTTTTGTAATGTCCACTATACCACCAATCTTAGTGTCATCCGCAAACTTACTAACCATGTCTTCTTTATTCTCATCTAAGTGATTTTTATAAATGACAAATAAAATGGTTAGTTGTTAGAGATGATCATTGCTGGGCACCTGTGTGGCGTGAATATAATTTTCCACACATTGTTTTGCAGTGTATGGAATAGAAATATTCCAGCTTCCAGTAGTCGGAGGAGGGTTAACAACGAGGCCATACATGGTTCTAGAGAACATTTTGCCTTTGTGGATAATGCTGTTGCTTTTGAGAGAGGTTTGTGTCTGTCCTATTCTCAGTTCAGAGTAAGCTCAGCTGGTGTTTCCAACATAGTACTATGGGAGGGCAGCATTGTTGGAGGAATTCTTTCAAAATGAAACTAAAAGCCACAACTCTCTCTTGCCTTCTCAGATAGAAGTAACCCATCCTGTTTGAATGGGTAAAGTGTCTCTATCAGGCCCGTATATCTTAGTGGGATCTTTTTTTTCTATTCATTTTGTGGGATGTGGGCGTCGCTGGCTGGCCAGCATTTCTTGCCCATCCCTAGTTGCCATTGAGAAGGTGGTGGTGAGCTGCAGTATGCATTGCCACTACCAGTGACAGAAAAGCACCCAAGATGCTGAAAGTCGCTATACCAATGCAGATCTCCTCTTCCTTTTCTGTGCTGAGGGGTCACAGCCTAATTTTGTGACCAAGATGACTACAATGGCCTCCAGGCTCCAGTTGATATGAGCCCAGAGAGATGGATTATTTGTGTAAAGTGTAAATGTTGGATACAGATTAAACCTGTCAATACTAATCTCGTTTTAATGAGGTGTACGGCCTGTAGAATCAGCAGCTCATTTAACCATCCAATTAGAATGAAAGTGATAGGACCCTGGCAAGACAATGAAGTTCAGCCAAAGAAAAATATCTGAGAGGTACTGGCTCAGCTCGGGCGGTTAACCCTGGACATCTTGACATGTCTGTGTGCATGCTTAAAAGAGGAACTCAGATGTGGAGTAAAAATAAAGTGATTAAATTGATCCCCTGGTTTAAATGCACAGCCCCAGCGTTATATTTAACACTGCAAATGGATTCTGTTTTGAGATGCACGGGGAAAGTTTGTCTTTTCCTCAGTTTGTACATCTTGAGGATGTAAGGGGCTGAGGAACTCTCTCAGATGCGAGAATCCTGCCTGGCTCTATAGAATATCTGGACATGAAACACCAGATTATCTGTTATTTGAAGAAGCCGAGCTCTGTGACTGGAGGTTTTATTCTGAGTAGCGGCACAATTTTTGCATCTAGTTCCAAAGAGGCTCTGTCTCCCTTCCTTGTAGAAAATGCATAAAATGTGACAATATCAGACAGGGCTTTACCCTCAAACACTTTCTCCGGGTGCACCCTAGTTGCTGTTCAAACTTCAGGAGCATTCTGACCCTCATTCTTTCTTTCCCATCTCTCTCTCTCTCTCTCTCTGTGTTTCTCTCTCTAAGCTTCATTCATATTCTAATCACTGCCAGCTCCTGGTGAACACGCTCTGTATTAACACTTTTCCAGCAACACTTCGGGGCTCGCAAATGGGAAAAGTCCAAGAGAGTTAACAATCTCCTCTGTGACATATCCTTGCCAGCAGTACAATGAGCAAGTGGAGAATGCTCACCCTGCGTTTTGGGGAGAAGCAGTAAAAGTAAGATTTAAAACAACAGCAACAAAAAAAAGGATACAAAAGGGAGTGGACAAAATCTTGTAAAACAAATGGCAAAGGAACAGGCTCGGCTCGCGGACAGAGAAGGGAGAGGGAGGAATAGCTGGCCAGAACACCACCAATAAGCGCAGTGGCATTAAACTGCATTCAGAGACCAGCCAATTTTCATTAAGACCCCATAATGAGAAGCGAGAGCAGCTCCCGGGAGTTTAAATCAAGGAGGAAGAAAGGCACTTTCTCGGATATAATGGAAAGGGAGGGTGAAATGCGAGACTTGCGTATATCTAATCCCACCCCCTCCCCTTTTTATTCCCCCAAAAAAATCTTTTCTTATTCAAAATACCATCACAATGGCCCACAGTAACGCCTGGTCACATTGGTCCTTGGAGGTAAGCTGCCACTCATCGAGTTCCCGGCCTATCAATGACACAGCTCTCATCGGCCCTTCTCTCCTCATTGCAACATCAGCAAACATTCTGACGGATCGGGCTCCGCTAGATCACACACACACACACACACACACAGTTATCCCAGAGGGAGAGGTCTATCTGCGGACAGCCGACACCTCCAGATGAGCATGCATTGTGAATTATTGGAAGATTCAGACATGGATTCAACAGGTTGGTGGTTTCTTGAAGATGAAGGGGGTTGGGGTGTCTGTGTCCGCCTCGACAGATTCCAAATCTCCATTCTAAAAGAGAGAGAGAGAGAGACAGTTTAGAATGAGTCCTACTTCAGGAGGGTGAAGTTGCCTCTCCAAACCCCCGCCCCACTCAATTTTTTGCACTGACTTGAAGTTGTTTCAGGTCTGCCAGTTCCTCTGCCTTTGTTAAACTTTCATTTTGATGCACAGTCTCCTCCTGAATTGTTTCTTTTGCATAAACAAGATGTTAAATCCTAGCCTCCCCCCCCGCCCACCTCTGCCCTGTAGAGTTGGGGAGTGTTTGTGGGAGTAAGGGGACCCCCCCAATATACATACACACACACACACATACACAGAGCCCCCTGTCCCTGCAGGATGCGCTGGGCGTAGCGGTGCGGCTGCTGGGTTTTGTCGGCCCTGAAAGGGTTTGGGGGGATTTTAGGGTGAGGGGACTGAGCGCTGGGACTCTCCGACACAGGCCTGCACCCCCCACCCCCTCACCGTCCACTACCCACTTACGCACTGCCCCTTGCCCAATGCCCACTGCCGATGCCTCCCACTTCATCCCTGCCCCGAGCCTCTGCCATTTCACTGGGGCCTGCTATTCAGCTGAGGGAGGATAGGACCAGGCGATCCGGCCCATCGCTCTGTGCTGGCTCTTTGTGAAACACTATCTAATTAGTTCTCCCTCCCAACTTCTCCTCCCTCATGATACCTCCCCCCAACCTGTTATTCCCCTTCCTATTACGTCTCCCATTGCCCCCTTTCCCTCCTGCCTTCCCCCTCTACTCTTGCCCCTCTCCCCCTTCCTTTTCCCGTGGCCCTCATCCTCTCTTCCCCTCCTCCCCCTTTACCCCTTCCTCCCTCATCTTTCCCTTCTGTTACTCTGTAGGAGTGTAAATCTTTTATTTTGGTCAGAACTTTTGTTTTCAGTTTCCTTTTGAAAGTCGATACCAAATATGTTTCCACCACTCTTTCAGACAGAGCATTCCAGATCACAGGGTCTGGCTGTGTGTGTTAAAAAGAAACAAAATTTCTTCCCTCTCCCCAACTAGTACCAATGCTCTACAATGTGTCACCCTCCGGTGACTAACCCTCCTGCCCGAGGGGAGGACATGGTTGTTCTGATTATTTTCTGTATCCCTTGTTGATATCATACACCTCTATTCAGCGCTTTCTCTGTCGTAAGGGGAAGAAAGCCAGTGGGAAAACAGAACAACTGGGGAAAAAGTTACAGAGTAAACTCCAATGCCTCCACCAGTTACCCCGCTGTTGATGTCTAGTTGTCAGGAAGTGTGGAATTAAACCCTGGTCCCAAAATATTACAGAATGCCCCCGTCTGCTTTCCTCCCTCAGTGTATCTTTGAGAATGGGTGTCTCAGACTTGCTGTAACCGGTGATTATACAAAAGTCTTTCTCTCAGCATCGAGAAGGTGACAGGGAATGAGCTCCAGGTCTGACAGACTCAGTCTATTGAGCCCTGAGTAACCCGCAGCTCAAACAGCCGTCACACAAATACTGTCTGTTTTTTGAGACTAGTAGTATTTTTTTGTGTGTGTGTATGTGTGAGGGAGAATGGTGCACTGACTGCTCAAGGTTCCAAAATTTGATTTACCGTAAAACCGGCGCGATTCTTAAACGGGATGTAGGCTGCTCGCTTCCGGGAACCTGCTAATGTGAAGTCAGTAGATAAATGCGGAAAATTATTTGTTCATTGAGATCTTGGTTCAGAACCAAGTTCAGCAAGAGAGCCCCGAAATGAATGTGTTAGCTTCCGAACTAATAATTCAGTAAATACATCTTCTAGGCCAATATGCCAATAACTTATTCTTCCAAAAGTAATGTATCATAACGACCTAGTCGTTTCAGGACTGACACACCACATAAATGCTTCAAGCTTCAGGACTAACAGACCTGAAATATTTTAATTTCAGGAGTAATATCTCAAATGAATACATTAAAGAATAATAGATCGATGAATACATTCGTTTCAAGAGTAATAAACTAAACAGTATAATTAAGTTTAATGTGCAAATCCATGTGCTGTTTGCAAGACAACAAACAGTTTAGTTTAGGTTTATTTCGCTAATTGAATAAAGCCCTTCACGGGTGATTAAAACTCTGTGATATTATCGAAACGGGTATTTGAAGATATTAAATTGTATGGATTTGCCTGAGATGTTACCTTCTCGCGGTCTAAAGGTCCAACGGGATATCAGCGCACTTTTGACCTCTTCAACGGCCAGAAATGATTGTAATGAATTCCCTCTTAACAGACGCTCAGGGAGGGCTATAATATTGGGGGGGGGGAGGAAGAAGATCGCTCGAATGGGGGTGTTTCGTGATTGAAATGTCGTGAATAGTAAACTGGGCTGGGGGGGCGGTTGCAGAGTGGATTTAAAAACTTCATACTTTTCTCAAATTCGAGGAAATAAGTTTCCAAGTCTCTCTGTGGTCTAGGATTCGAATTTGAGGTTTAATTTGAACATCCACCTTACGTATTCTGTCTGCAATTTTGATTTCTCCTGGTAATTGTTCTGAAATGGACTTCCCATCAAATCCACTTGTGGCGTGTCAGCGCTAAATACCGCAACAAAATAGGCAGAGAGGAAAGCCATATTCCAGAGGGATTAGAAACTCTTCCAACTGGTCAAACCCACCCCCAATTAATGATTAAAGTTCAATTCTGGCAGACCAACCGGGATCTGTCGTTTTCCATCACCCCCACCCCCAACCCCGTCTCCCAGATTTTGTTTCCTCTAACACAAATTAGCAAATGACTATAGTTCCAGCGAAATTTGGGAACATAACCGGCGATTTAATATTATAGACGATATATTTGTTCGACTTGTCTTCTTAGTCGATGTTAAATTTAGACCAGTTTTAAATCTTTCTGATTTAACTCTGCCCCGGTGCTTGTGGATTGTAACAAAAACATTTTTACAACTAGGATAAATCATTCTGAACTCTCAGCGATCCTAATTTAACGTCAAACGAATTGGTCAATAATTTTTTTCTTGAAAAGAAAAAAGCAGAAATTAAAAATTCATTAGTTTCCCGGCTGAACTTGTTAATCTTTTTTTTTCCCCCTGCTGTCGAGCACCGCTGACAAAGTGAAGCTTTACTTTAGTTTCTTACAACTCTTTGAGCCTCGCCCTTGAACTTAAAAGTTCAGCATATATTATCCCAAACCCTGGCTAGAGAGGGAGACTGACCCCAAGCGTGATTATTTCAGTATTTTAAGCCTGCGAGTTGTGAATTAAATCGTTCCCGAAATTTGCCACTGGGGAACTGAGAATTATCCCGCCGTATCTAGGGACGTTGGCAGAAATCACTAGTACAGATTCACGCTACCTTGGTTACCGTTTGGCCTGGAAAGCAAACAGATTTCAGGGACGTCACCACTGTGGGCTACAGAAAAGGGCCTGAGTGCTGGGGACATGTTCCCGAGGATGTGGAAGTCAGACCTGGGACACTGGAGAAATCCCAGAACTGGGCTTGAGACACAGAATGGGGAAATTCATTCCTGTACGGTCCAGCACACATCACTACAGCTCCTTGTTAACTGGGGAGATGTTGCTGTCATTGGCAATGTGCATTGGGAATCCAGACGCTCAGCTTAATGCCCTGGGTTTAACCCAGCAACACCCACCCCCCCACCTTCCCGATCCACGTGGAGTTTAAAATCAATGAATGCATAAATCTGCAATTGAATGCTAGCCTCAGAGATCACGAATGGTAAACTATCATCTATTCTCATAAAAATACATTTGGTTCAATCATGTCTTTGAGGCAGGGACATCTGCCGTCCTTACCCGCCTGATCTACATGTGACTCCAACCCCACAGCAACTGCGTGTGTCATAGTTGCCCTCTGAAATGGTCCTGGGAGCCAGGGAATGAGACAGAGAAAGAGAGAGATTGACGTATAGTCAGGGCAAGGGGAAACAAGAGTTGGGGACCTGTGAGAGAGGTGGGGCTGGGGCAACAGGCAGGTGGGGAAGAGAAAGAGACTGAGGGAGAGAAGGAGGCAGAGGAACAGAATGTGACAGAGGAAGTGAGACAGAAACAGTAACACAGAGAGAGAGAGAGAGGTAGCACAAGGCAGAGCGACAGGGAAAATTGAGAATAAGGCAGGGAGGGAGAGGGATAGATGGTGGTGGGGCAAATGAGAGTGAGTGTGTGAGACAGAGAGAGAATGATACAGGGATTGAGAGAAAGACAGGAAGAGAGAAGGAGTGAGGATACAGAAATAGGGAGAGAGAGATGCTTTATCTTGTACGTTGAGCCAATACTGCTACTTGCACATTAAAGTACTGGTCTAGAGTATCTCAGGCTGTGGGTATCTACGCAAAGGCAACTAGGAACAGGCAATAAATGCTGACCAGCTAGCCAAGTCCACATCCCACAAAAAATGAATTTAAACTAAACTCGCTGTCCCAGAGGCTATTTGTTCCTTATCACTGAGTAAGCTCTTCAACTCTTTATTGTACTGTAGCACTACATATTGACACCTATATATAGGTGTCTCAAATACGTCTCTCTGGATTAGTTGTCAATTTAGATCCATGGCCGCTCGGTGAGACGGGAACAAATACAGTTGATTAACTACTCAGACTTACAGCACTTTCTACATACCAGTCCTACCTCTTCTCCCTTTATATTTGTGAAGTCAATTAATTAATTAATTAACAGAAGTTGCTGGAGAAATTCAGTAGGACTGGTAGCATCAGTGGGAAGGAAGCAGTGTTAATGTTTTGAGTTCAGCGACTCTTCAGAGGATGACTCTTTGTTCAAACCTCCAACATTTGTACTTCTTTGTGTTTTATCTTATACCCAGAAATTCTCAAACGCACATCTGAATGTTTTTATTCCGATTACCAAATCACCCTGGTATTTTTATCATGTATAACCACCACTAGTAAATCACCTGTGTTTAACAATTGAACAATTGACATGCAAAGCCTGCTAAAGGCAA